GGAGTGGATGATTGTGAATCCCGACAGCTCTCCGATCTAGCTGGGAATTCACATTCCGACGTTGCATAGCAATGCCGCTAATCAATTCTAACCTCTGTGGTTTTCCGAACCATTTGTCAAAGTTACGTCAAACCGAATAACGTTTGACTGCATTGTTGAGAAACTCACTTCATACAGCTAGTTGATTTTATTTGAAATTCATTGATTTGAATTTATCATCCTTCAGACCCCGTTATCATGCATAATCGTCCGTTCATCCAGTCAACCACACATTCATCCGGAAGCACTAAAGTCGAGTGTCAGCTTTCATGAGCGCTCATCAGTAGTGTATATTAACCGTCCCGTCTTTTGATTCGCACAGACCAATCCGTCAGGTTTCGTACTCACGCAAAATTTACGGTTAATCAAATTCTGCTTTTATTAGAGTACATCGGTAATGCATACCCACCAGACGTAATCCAAGCATTGTATTTCGGACCACTCATATGGAACATTTGTGTGCTAGTTCCGTGCCAACTATCTCACCATCGAGCTGACAATAACTGTTAACTGAAGTTTGTTCAAATGTGATTTCACTGTCGGTCAGCCAGTGGGTCGGGTGACTGCACGGCAGACACGAAAAGATGGACGTTCGAATCAATAGCAGTAGCTTGTCAAACGAACAGTTACATCGATTTTGGTCAATTCATACGATTTCCTTTACACTCTGAGAATCTGAATCTGATTTAGGCGTTTCCGCGTAATGAAATGACACAATTAAGTTGTTCAATTTCTTTATTAAAAAAATACTCGTGGTGATCGCCAAGCAATTAGGGTCACCAACTCATCGCCCGGTAGAAATTATATTCGAATACCACTTCCGCCGCCCAACTTTTCCTACTGTGTTCCCAGACAACACCTACTTGAAAGTTGTTTGCACATTTGTATATTCAATAAAAGAAATAAAAACATCATCACTCAAAAAGTGATATTGAAATGGAGAAAACTATTCTTTGGTGCAATGCAGTCCCAGAGTTTGTCTTAGACTCGTGGCATCGCATAGGTAGATAGCCCCAATGGTGTTGGTTAAAAAATCCACATTACACCAAAAAAACGTTATATATGAAAATATGAAATATAGGTCACAGAAACATCCTATTGTCAAAAAGGCCCAGTGAGGCTAGGAGATCATTCAGCCCCAAACAGTGTTTAGTTATTTTATGCTTGAAAATAAAAAACACTAGGACGGTTATCAGCGTGAAAGGCCGGATTGTAAGTATGTTTGAGGGGATTGGTGATTTTGGATAAAATATTGAGTAGGCACTCGCTTGACAACTTCCAAGGAGCAGTCTACAACGACTTAATGTTTGCTCAAACAAACTTCGCGGAGATAAAGAACCTATTGTCATCTAGGCCAAAATCTACCTGTAACTCCAACATCGGTGAACGTTTGCGCTGTTTCACTACATCATCCATCAGGAATCCGTTATTCGTCCAAATGTTAGCGGGAGGGTATTGAACGCGTCACAGCTGAAACTCCTCTGCAGATTTATTTCATCGTAAGCACCTCAAATGAAATCCTCATATGTGGCAGAACCGAATTGTGTATGACACCTAAATAATTCCACTAAAGAACGACGCTTTGCTTTGTAGCGAGGCAGCGCACCAGGAATGGCGGCTTGGTGTCGTGTTTTGTTTTCTGTTGTCGTACCTTTTCAAGCAGTCACTGTACCGTAGATACTCATTGCAGACACTTTTGCATCCATCATAGACCACACACCGTTATACATATATTCCTTGTTCCGTTTGCGAGCGTGAGTGCGTTTCGAAGAGGCTTTATTCCTCCCGGTGGTTTGGTAAATGAGGGGCGATGCACCTACATGAATCAAAGCAGGTAGTAGACCGCTAATTGCTGAGTCGAACGAAATCAATCGTATTCATACCAAACACTTCTCGAAAATAAAGGTCATGCTGTTTTGAATTATTATGTGCGCAAAGCACATATTTCAGTTGAATGGAGTTGAGTGATGAGTGATGAAAGCAGGTCGGTCGTTAGGGCAAAAAGTCGAACGGCTTCTACCGAGAGCTTAATCGATTAATGCCAATGGGGGAATAAGTTTACGATTGGTTAGAACAACCTTCATAGGTCTTTACCAAGTCAAATAAATTGATGAGGGCTAATCGCAAACTCGCTAGCGATATCACAGGTAATGAGCACAACGAGATCCACGAGATGTGTTCCATCTATCAGTCACATGGCATAAAGCTCAATCATTTTAGACCAAGATGGCAATTTTCGTGTGTGAATTCTTGTGGTCCACTCCGTGTTGCATAGAACAAAATCGAATCCGGTCCGTAAGTTTCACAGTCAACTTCCGAAACCCAACCCTTTATAGTTTTAGTCAAGTGCTGGAACATCGATGCACTTCGTCAATGCTATACCGAAATGGCGTGGTCTCACATGTGCAAGGATTGTTAGCGTTCTGCAATCTCAATGTGTCCATCAAATCACGTGCTTGGTGTGTGATAAATAAATTGGCGTGACCAAGGCGAGATAAACTGCGTTGTGAATGACATGCTCACGCCCTTGACTGAGGCACTTTTGTACCCGAGATAGGACCGTGCAGTTTGCCACAGTCAATGAAGATGGCAGCCAGGGAAAGGTTAATTATCCCTAGGTTTGATATGCAAACCGGAACCCTTGGAATGCAGTTTTCAGGCGCCACGATGGCGTCCCAATTGGTTGGCGATTGTGTAACTGTGTAATCACATTCACTGTCTAACTCGGTAGCACAAGAAAATCAGCAGTCGTAAGTTGATAATACTATCGGTATTTTGGAACATCAGCTAAGGTAAATTAGTTTGAAGCTTGCTTTTTGGATTGCATTTTTGGACTTTTTCTTGACCATAGAAATGATGAGTTTTGGATCAGTATTTCAAGGGAGAAACAGTTTCCAGTGAAAAAGCAGAGACGAACGTATCGCATTAACCAGTAAAATTTACCTCGAAGTATGACTAGATTACTTGATTATCTCGTTTGTATTATTATTACTATTATTATTATTATTACCATATATCACAAACACCTGAGTTCAGACTGGATCAAACAAATTACGATAGAACAATCTTCAACAAAAAGAAAAAAAGGTCTATGATTTGCTCGAGGGCACTGTCAGGTTGCCCGAGCCAACGCTGGTAAATTTTCTTGGGGAATTCACAACCGGAGCCTTCAGCTAGCCAAAATCAGAACCGCAAGCGGTGTGTGAGCACCGCAGTCCATTGGGGGCCGGCGTCCAATTCATCGGATCATGGGCCCTTTGGACGGGGTCAACTGTGCAAGGTGCCTAATTCACCGCGATACCCAATCGAGCCGGTGATCACTTCCAAGGTGTGTGTTTGTGGCTCGTACGCCTCTTCTTGGTTAGCTTGGAATCGGGGTTTTCAGCTAACTCCCCTAGATAAACTGCCAATGGTTCACCAACTGGGTTACAGTCCCGGATGTTGAATTTTCGTCCTCTCACTTTGATGGAAAAATACCCCCGCCACAGGAAGGCAATTTTCCTCAGCAGTGGCGTTTCGGGAGGCTTGGTCATATCGGAGCACTTCACTATGTGTAAGGGAGGGGTGACTAGCCTCAACCCAAGACACCCAACCCCGACCATACTGAGGCCTTCGGATGCAATGGGAAAAGTCAGGCGGTGGTGGGATTCAAACACCACTTATCTTTCGGCAACAAACACGCTTCTGTTTACAGCTCGCTTTTCAAATTGGTTCTATGATAAATGGTAATAAAAGTCTATGATAAGAGACCTTTGATCATATTATAATCAAAGATGCACTCTATGCAATTGTTTGACCCATCTCGTCTCATTAAAGGATAACTAAGTTAAATAGACTTCAAAAAGGGGGATAGTGTGATACATTTAAATTATTTGAGAATTGATGTATAAACTAGTTAGTAGTAACCAAGTGATCCAGACTAGCAGCCCATCGTCTGCTGATTCAGTTCACGAAACTCAATCAATACTGCCATTGTTCTGCCCTATTGTTTGTCGATTTGCTTTGATCTCATTTGATTGGTTGTGCTTGCATTCTGGAGTATTGTTTTTACACCATCTGCATTTCAAATGAACTGAAAAAATATAATTGGAATTTTTTTAACTACTGATAATAGAACACTTCTGAATACTTGTTAATTTGTGTCAAACTTGCTAAATTGTTAGTAGCATTGATTTTTGTCACTTATGATGAATGAACTTAGCAGCCCTTCACGGGTGAGGGAACGATTAGTGGGTAGCGGAACTCATTTTTTCATATCCAAACTTATTGCAAGTCAAACGTTTCCTTCATCACAGAGCTAGCCCCCAAGTCAGATATGATTCGAATTGAACTATTGTGTAGGACAGGATCGGCAGCTTATCGATATAACTGGAAACCTAATGGAATCTACAGTATCTGGGTAGATTGTTTTCATGCACGCGGACTGTAAAGCTCCGAGTCTAAACTAAATAGATAAATATATATATATATATATATTTTTGTCACAATAACCTTGTTTGCAACGCCGAGTGACCATTGGATAGACAGCTCTTTCAGAGCCAGTCCAATGAAGAATCAATGCTATGATTCGATGTTTTGTAAGTGGGTTAGATGCTACTAACCGCAACAAACGTGACCTGATGGTCTTGGTGGAATATTTGATAATAAGTAGTATGTGAATGACTGGACAAAATTTCTCTGGAAGCACACGACCGGTTTCGCGGTTCTTGCCGCTCGCCAGGC